GTCTCTCGGGCCTTCCCGCGTGCCCCCCTGGGGTTGGCGCGTCTTGTTGCGTGACTTCTTCGGCCCAAGAGGGCTCGAAGATGGCTCCAGAGAGTCCCAAGACGCTCCCAAGACGGTCCAAGAGGGCCCCGAGTCGCCGAACTATCGCCCCAGGACGCCCAAGAGGCTCCAAGACTTCCAAACATGCCTCCAATAGGCCTCCCAAGAGGGCCCCCAGAGGCCAACATCATGCATTGTCAGTAGATTGTTGAAGGAGTTTGGCGTTCTCGACTTCTCGGCTCCCCGACGCTCCCAGACGGCCCTAGAGGCCCCAAAGATGACCCAAGATCCCTCCAAGACGGCCCCAGGAGGGTCCGAAGACGGCCCAAGAGGCGCCCAAGACGGCCCAAGAGAGCCCCAAGAGGGCCCCAAAAGGGGTCTCAGAGAGGGAACGCGAACCGAAAATCCAAGCCTTCCGCCCCAAGCGGCCCCCAACAGGCCCCAATATGCGCCCAGGAGACCCCAAGATGCCCCCAAGAGGGCCAAAAGAGCAAGAGGCCCCCCAAAGGCCCTCAAAGATGCGTCCTCACTGTCTCCGCGAGGCTTCTGAGGAGCCTCCCACGGGATCCCACCGAACATCCAATAGGCTTCATACCCACAACCCAGGCACGGTGGCGGGATGGCCCGAAGGCCATTCTATCCGCCGCCTCCTGTTGATTCATCACAGGGGTGCCTGGCGTGCTAGATCCTTTCGGTTTTGGTTTTGGTTCTTTTTCCCAAAGAACTCCTCCTGGGGCTTCGGCGCGTCCCGTCGGCCACCCGAAAGAATTGCCCAGGATCTTCCAGAGGTGGTTGCCGATGGTTTTCCTGCCCCAAATGGCTCCACGATGACCCAAGATGGCCTCCAAGATGGCCACGTCGGCCCAAGATGGCCTGCAAGGCGGCTAAGATGGCCTCCAAGTCCGCCACAGATGGTCCAAGATGGCCTCCAAGACGGCCCAAGAGGGTCCAATATACCTCCAAGTTCACCCAAGAAGCCTCCAAGACGGCCCAAGAGGTCTCCAAGAGGTCCTCCAGGAGGGCCCGAAGATGCCAAAAACATTGGTTGTCCTTCGGTTCTTGGAGGAGTTTGGCATTTGCCTCTTCTCGGCATTCCGACGGCTCAAGACGGCCCAAGAGGCCGCCAAGATCGCCCCAAGATCGCCCACGAGGCCTCCAAGAAGGCCCCATGACGGCCCAAGAGGCCTCCAAGACGGCCCCAAGAGGCCCCCAAGACGGCCCAAGAGACCTCCAAGACGCCCAAGATGGCCTCTAAGACGGCCCTGGAGCATCCCAAGAGGGCCCCAAGTCGGCCCAGAGGCCACCCAAACGGCTTCCGACGGCTTCCGACGGGCCAGGAGCCCACCCAGATGGCCGAAGTTGGAGGCCTCCAAGAGCGCCTCCAGGAAGGCCAGACAAGACAAACCATACTAGTTTCCTGGTTCTTGAAGGACTGTGACATTTACTTCTTTTCGGCCTTCCGACGGCCCGAAACGGCCCAAGAGCTCCCAAAGATCGCCCAAGATCGCACAAGAAGCCTCCAAGATGGCCCCAGAACGGCCCAAGCAAGAGGCCCCCAAGACGGCCCCAAGAGGCCCCCAAGATGGCCCAGGACGCTTTTACGACGCCCAAGATGGCCTCCACGACGGCCCTGGAGCATTCTAAGAGGGCCCCAAGTCGGCGCAGAGAGGCCCCCCAAACGGCTTCCGACGGCGTCGGACGGGCCAGGGGCCCACCAAGACGGCCGAAGATGGCACAAAGATGGCCCAAAACGGCCCAAGAGGCCTCCAAGAGGGCCCCCAGGAAGGCCCGAAAAGGCCAAAATCATAGATTTCCCGTGATTCCCATAATTTCCCAAATCAAGGATTGTGGCATTTGCTTCTTGTTCGGCCTTCCGACGGCCCGAGACGGCCCAAGTGCCCCCAAAGATCGCCCAAGAGGCCCAATACGGCCCCAAGATGCCCCCAAGACCGCCCAAGAGGCCTCCAAGATGCTCAAGATGGCTTCCAAGACTGCCCAAGAGCCCTCCAAGACGTCCTCCAAGAAGGCCCGAAAGGGTCAAAATGGTCTCCAGGCGGCAAACATTTCCTTCAAGATGCCCACGTATTCCCCGAAGGCTTTCCAAACCGATTGGGGGAACACATGGTCCGATAGCTTGGCAAGTCTGGCCTCAAGAGACCGTGGTTTCCGGAGTCGGAGGGAGAAGAGTAGGAGTTAGACAGATGGTAGTTGGGAGCGCGCGAGCGGGACCTGGATTGCAAATACCTGCAGACGCCAATCCCGTCGAGTGCTCGACTTGGAACTTGACTCAACCCCACAGTAGCCCAAAGCATCCGAAAATGAACGGGAGCCAACGTTTCGCAAGGCCAGCTTGGGCCGTAACCAACGTCCGTCGACCAAGAATCTGTCGCTGAATGCCCAGCTCATCAGAGTCAACGAGGAGGGGGGAGGGCTGGAAACAGTAAACATAATGAATGCTATTATGTTCCGCCTTCCCCTCCTTCCTCCTTCGTTGCTCTTTATCCTGCTCGCCGTGGTGGGTACACCGGAACACCGACGTAGGGCGGAGTTGTAGTCGGTGCCGCTGTCGGGGTCTCCGTGGATACTGCTATTGGTGTTGAAGTCGGTGCCAATGTGGGCGAACGCGTCGACGAAACCGTCGGTGACGCCGTCAGGGCGGCCGTTGGCATTGCAGTTGGAGCTGCCGTGGGAGCTGCAATCAATGCCGATGTCGGGGTCGCCATAGATACTGCCGTTCGTCCTGGAGTTCGTGCCAATGTGGGCGAAAACGTCGGCGAGGCCGTCGTCACTACCGTCAGAGAAGCAACCGGTACTGCAATTCATGTTGCCGTGGGAGCTGCATTCGGTGCTGCTGTCGGGATCGCCGTGGGCGCTCCCGTTGGTGTTACAGTTGGCGCGGGTGTGGGTGAGGCTGGTGGCAAGGCCGTCGGCGACGCTGTCGGGAAAACCGTCGGCACTGCGATCGAAATTGCCGTGGGGGCTGCCATCGGTGAGGCCGTCAAGGTCGCCGTGGGCGCTGCCGTTGGTGCTGCAGTCAGCGCCAGTGTGGGCGAACACGTCGGCGAGGCCGTCGGTGATGTCGTCACGGAGACTGCTTGTGCTGCAGTTGGAGCTGCCATGGGAGCTGCAATTGGTGCAGCTGTCAAGATCGCAATGGGCATTGCCGCTGGTGCTGCAGTCGGCGCCCGTGTGGGTGAAACCGTTTGCGAAGGCGGCGGCGACGCCGTCGGGGAGGCTGTCGGTGCTGCAATCGGAACTGCCGTGGCGACGGCGAGGTCGCCGTGTGCGCTGCTGTTGGTGCTGCAATCAGTGCCAGTGCGGGCGAAAACGTTGGGGAGGTCGTCGGGGAAACAATCGCTGCTGCAATTGGAGCTGCCGTAGGACTTGCAATCGGTGTCGCCGTCGGGGTCATCGTGGGCACACCACGATGGAATCGGCAACCCACCGCGACGGAATCTGCAACCATCACGACGGAGTCGGTAACTTACGACGATACCCAGGCAGCTGCGGAACCACCTCGGCGACAATCTACAACGAAGCTGGGTGGAATGACCGCCCCAATTAGATTATTCTAGCGGCTAGCGGCTGGCCGTCCGATCCGGCAGTACTACAGCTGGAGCTGGGAACTTGCGAACACGGTTGGCCCTCTGCCCACACTCCGCTCAGCTCGCCCAATGACCCGCCAAGGCAAACTGTCGTGAGTCCCCGAGCCGCATACCGCCGAGACCCAGGGTACTTTCGTGTGTGCCATCCACGCTTCGTCAGGCACGGTACAAGTATGCAGGGCAAGATGTGTTCCCACAGCAGGTCTCGAATTGGCAAGCGAAGCTCGGGATGTATCCATCAAGCGGGTGCCGTGGGTGTCCGCTGCATCTCGCGCTTGGGCTGGCGCCACAGCTGTGCGCAGCAGATGGCTCGACCTCGGCACACCAGAAAAGTAGTGCAGCAGAAACTGCGCAGACAGCAAGCAGGGGAGCTCGGACGATCTTCAAATGGTTTGCCTTGCCCTCGGCCTGCGCATGTCCGAACGCGGCAGAATATGCGTCAGTGCTGGACGGCGCACCCAGAATGCTGATGCCTTGTTCGTGCTCGGGTTCGTTATGGGCCCAAGCTTTGGGGGGCCCGTCGTGTAGGCCTGCTCGGAGGCAATCGTTTGGATTTCTGCACGGCGCGGCCAATTTTCAAATCAGCGACGCCGACGTGACATAATGTTGCCCGTGTGCATATCGTCGTATATCGAAGCAACATCTTGGGTGACAAGATGACTATGTGTATATACATATGTGTATATAAAGATATGTCGATTTACCATTCAGATGCACGGTATCTGCTGCCCCTCATGGGAGACAGGCCCGAACATCTTGTAGTGTAGATCCGTCCTCCCCACTCCTCAGATTCATCCTCATCCATCCTCCTACCCCTCCTCCTGCTTCTTCTTCTCATCCTCCTCCTCCTTCTCCTCCTCCTTCCCTTCCTCCTCCTGCCATTCCTCCCCCCTCCCGTTACTTACGCGATCGCTGCTTCAACAGCACCCCCTGCTTATAGTTTTACGCGAACTCCATCATGTGATGATGTGAGAAGGAAGATGTAGTGTCTCATGTGTGCCCCCCCCGCCTCCTCCACCTTCGATTGATCACCGAACTCTTTGTCGTCATCGCTTCTTGCAGATACACCCCTACAAGTGAGACCACGTCTATGAGCTTGTTAATCGCGTGGACCTCACTCGGAACATCGATCGTTGCCTGCGCGCCCAATTCTTCGGGTCGCGCACATTCAACCTTCTCCAGTGCGTGTAACAGGTGCATTGCGTATATACCTCTTCCTATGGGTGTGCTCCTGTCTCGAAATTAGTCTTGGCTCCCATCACCAACTCAACCTCAATGCTGTCCCTCCCTTCATCCGTCCCTCTTTTGACTCGCCCCCCCGCCGAACGAGCCAAGTCCGCCAGTACGCAGTGGAGTTCAATCGTCTGCAATGATGACCTCCCTCTGCCAGGCATTACTCTACCAAGCGCTCGCTGGAGGCATGATACCAACATCTCCATGCACGCAACACAGTCCACACTACACACTCGCAACACCAATTCATACGAAAGAAGAGCATTTGCGAGCAAGGTTGAGCATGTATGCAAGCCCTGGGTGCTTCGACACAACGTGTGTACAAGAAACCATGCGCAAGCTTCGCGCGCGCTGAGGTTCTGGCCCAGGCAAAGCCAGCGCAATATCAATAAACGGATGGGCACGCACACCATCCCACCTCGATCAACACATAGGAACACCTGCGCAATCGCGGGCATGCATATCCCAATAACGCCCAACAAATCCTCCACATGGACCGTGTACAACAAGGAGCTCTACCTAGGGCCCCAGAGATATGATTCGCATATCTTCCCCTCGCCCATCTCGGCAACCCCCTCACAGGGATCGCGCACCACATGGAGCTCCACCTACGGGCCCAGAAACAATATTCACATAACGGCACACACCTCACACAGATCGTGTCCCGCAGATAACAGCACATACTGCATCGGAGGGAAGCTTTGTATAGCGAGATTCGCATCCCGCCCCCTCGCCCCCCGCAAATTTCGGCACACCTCTCACACGGGTCGTGCCTCACAGGGAGCTCCACCTACAGCCACAAAGACAAGGTTCGCATAACGCCCACCCGCTCATTCTGGCACATCCCTCCTGCGGATCGTGCCCTCGGGGAACACCAACCACAGCCCCAGAAACAATTTCGGACATCACCCCCCCGTTCATGTCGGCACACACCGCTCACGCGAATCGCGCCCTGGAAGGAGTTCCACCGATGGCACCGATGGGCAAATTCGCACGGCGTCCCTCCGCCCATCTCGGCACAAGCCTCGCGTGGGTCGTGCCCCACAGAGAGCTCCGCCTGCGGCCTAAGTGGGCATGCATGCGCGGGGGCGCCCGGATTATTCGGTACCCCCTTCACGCGGATCGCGCACCACAAGGAATTCAGGGCACTGTGCCACAACAACCCCCCATCCGCACGGTCCCGCGGCGTGCAGTATATGAAGAGAGAGCCGCGAAGAGGAGGAGAGGGAGGCAAAAAGGAAGAGGAGGAGTCATCTTGGAAGCCTCTTGGGGCAATATGGGGGCCTCGTGGCAGCTTCCTGGGAGCCTCATGGAGGCCTCTTGGAAGCTTCCTTGGGCCTCTGGTAGCTCCTTGGGAAGCTCTTTGGCAGTCTGAAGACATTTCTGGGACGACGTCGGAAGCAATATTGGGGGCCTCTCTGGGCCGACTGGGGGCCCTCTTGGGAAAGGTCATCCTGGGCGTCTTAAGAAATATCCTGGGCCCTCTTGCGGGCCTCTTGGGCCGACAGGGGGCAATCTCGGAGGTCTCTTGGGCGGCGATGTTGGGACCATCTTGGTGGCCTCTGGGTCGGGTGCCCGATAGGGGGGGAATCTGGGAGGGTGTGCTGTGCTGGGGCCCAAGCCCCCGTTGACCCGGCATATGATATACATGTATGGCATCCGTGATCCGCCACCGTGCCTTCGCCACGTCGGTGTGCATTCGAATGCTTGTCTATTGTCTGTTGTCTCGTGCGCTTCCCTGAATGGGTCGTTGGGTCGTTGTTTTGAAGAGACAGCGCTCCGCGTCACCTCATTTCACCTAGCCTCCCACCTCCCTCTTCCTTCTTCCCAATGCCTCTGCCCCCCTCCGCATGTCCGTTTCAGTACACCACTCACACGCTTCGTAGCCCCATAGCGAGCTCCAACTAAGGCCCTTGGGGGGGGCACATGCGGTCCCCAGCCATGTCGGCATACCTCTCACTTTTCGTAGTCCCGTAGCGAGCTGAGCTCCAGCGAAGGCGGCCCCAAGGGGGGGTCACCGCATGCGGTCCCCCAGCACATTTCGGCGCACCTCTCACACGCTTCGCGGGCCCATAGCGAGCTCGAACAGGCCCAGGGTGGGAAGGCACATGCGGTCCCCCAGCTCATTTCGGCGCGCCCCTTACGCGCTCCAACTAAGGTCCAGTGGCACAGCTCGCACCCCTGGGATTATTTCGGGGCCCCCATCGCAAGCTTCGTGGCCCCATAGCGAGCTCCAGTTCAGGCCCATGGGGCAGCGCCCGCATGCGTCCCCATGCCCATTCCGGCACATCCTTCACATGTTTCGTGGCCCCATCGGGAATTCCGCCGAGGGCCCAAATGGCAGCACCCGCATGGCGCCGCCGCCCAATGTGGGCACACCCCTCCCACGTCTTGTTGCCCCATAGCGAATTCCAACTAAGGCCGCAGGGCGGGTGGGGGGGCACATGCGGGCCCCCAGCCATGTCGGCATATCGGCATATCCCTCACGAGTTTCGTGCACCCCCCCACACCGAGTTCCAACAAAGGCGGCCCCCGGGAATGCGTACCGTATGCGGTCCCCCAGCCCATGTCGGCGCACCCATCACACGCTTCGTGGCCCCATAGCGAGCTCAAACTAAGGCTCAGGGGGGGGGGGAGGGCATAGGCGGCCCCCCACCACCGGGGCCTTCGGTGACGCTCCCTGTAGGGCCACGAAGCGTGTGAGGGGTGTCGGAATGGTGCGGGAAGGCGCATGTGGACCCTGACGCTGGGGCCTTCGGTGGAGCTCTTTTTGGGGCCACGAAACGTGTGAGCGGTGTGCCGAAATGGGGCGGGGAGACGCATGAGGACATTGGCCTCCAATGGCGCTCCCTCTGGGGCCACGGAACGTGTGAGGAGCGTGCCGCAATGGGGCGGGGATGCGCATCTGGACCCTCCCGCTGAGGCCTTCGGTGGAGCTCCCTATGGGGCCACGAAGCTGGCGAGGGGTGTGCCGAAGAGGGGCATGGAGAGGCATGCGGACCCTCCAATTTGGGCCTTCGGTGGGGCTCCCGATGGGGCCATCAAACTTGTGAGGGGTGTACCGAACTGGCAGACTCATGCGGGGAGCAGAAATAAGAAGGGGGAGAAGAAGGGGGAGGAGAAGAAGGAGGAGGAGGAGGAGGAGGAGACGAAGACCCACCACCGCGACATGGTTGAGAACAACTGCGCCATCGTCCCCTCCCGTGACCTCTTTAGCCGCGAGCCCCATGCCTCTTCGCCTCTCCCGGATGAGGCGCCGCTTCTCGGCGTCCGCCTCCAAATCCTCGCGGCTCCGGGTGTCCGAGGGCACGGGATATGATGCTCCCACCTACTTTAGTCTTGACCGCCAGAAAGAATTTCGAACACCAAGACAGTGCCGAAGCTGGAGGGTCTTCGCGCGTCGGGCACTGAGAGGCGATACTCGTTCGACACCGTGTCCATACTTGTCTGGGTGCTTGCAATTACTTCTGGGAGGTGCTCCTTAAGTACGACGGGAGCAACATAAGGCACGGGGCGAAAACGAAGGCACTGGGACGGATGGGTCCAGGAGGGATCAACGAGGCCGACAGGGCGTCCGTGTCGGCAGAGGACGCACCTCCTGCACCACTGCGCCGAGGGGCCCCGCTCGGAGTGGGACGCCGTCCCCCCCCCATCCGTCTTCTTGTCTTCCTCCTCCTTCCCCTCCTGGAGGTCGGGGGGGAGGAAGACGACTAGGATACCAAGGATGATGATGGTGATGCTGGTGGTGATGATGATGATGATGATGAAGATGATGATGATGATGATGATGATGATGATGATGATGATGATGATGATGCTGATGATGATGATGATGATGAGGAGATGAGGAACGATGATGTGGAAGACCACGAGGATGACCCCTTCGTATGTTCCTGCTCCTCCTTCTTTCCCTCATCTTTCTGCAATGGTTCCTGCTGCAGCAGCGCCTGCTCCTACCTCTCGTGCTCCTCCTGTTGATGCTTTCGTTCCTCCTCCTCCTGTTCATCTGCCTCTCTCCACTGCCTCGTCATGCTACTGCACAGCTTGCCCTCCTTCTCCACCCATTGCTCCTCCTTCTCTTCCTCCTCCAACCCTCTATCACCCCGCCTGCCGCGCACCAGACGTGTCCGTAAGCCAGGACGGGCGTTTTGCTTGAGACTTCCTTCCAACTTACTATCCTGAAACTAAGCATACACCACGGGTTACAAACACGGAGTGCTGGCCCACTAGCCCGGAATCCACATTGTGCATCTTTTGCAGTGGTGGAGGGCGGCTCCTTTCAAACATGGGGATCTCGCTTGCCTTCAATTAAAGACCAACGCGTTGAGCTTACGCAGCGCTTACACGGACGAAGGGCAGATCCAACTCACACATCCTTGATAATTGCGATCATACTTCCTCTTTGCGTTTCTTCTAGCTGAACACATGGAACGGTGGATCCTTTGCAAAACAGGTTTCGCCTGAGTGGCAACCAAATGAACACTTGTCCTTAAGAGGTGGCACTTTCCGCAATAGTTATGTCTACTGCTTCAGAAAGAACAGGAGACTTGAGACAGGAGGGTGTGTGACAGCATCGTTGCTGCGTCCTGGGTTTACTCTGGTCGTGCCCTGGCGATGTAAAGTATAGCAGCTCTCCCAGGACCAGGTGGTGCCATCGCGAGGAGAAGGAGGATCGAATGAGCAGAAACAAATTCGGCCCAAACGCAGGAACATAATGAGGACAAGGATGCTGAATGAGAAGAAAGAGCTGGTGGAAACGGAAGAAGCCCAAACCAGCATCGTGATACAGAACTTGTCCTTTTACGCAAATTCGAACCCATCGTCGTCGAGTTTCGAAGGTATGTCTCGCAAGCCCCATCCACCTGCTAAGTGCCATTCCGCCCGGGAAACGTGAGTTCTCACATCCGTGCTGGGCCAGGGCCATGCCTGTCCACAACCAGCGGAAGAGCTGCGACTGCGAGGAACGACGATGAAGACCACGAAGACAAGCGACTACGATCAATGATAACGACGACGCCAGCGTAGACCTCGAAAGAGGATGACGGCGGAGGGGGGATGACGACCTAGATTGCGAGGCCGCTCAAGCATGAAACCTGTCAGCGATGAGTGGCTCGCAGCCCGAAGGGGGATGAAGAGCGAAGGGCAGGGAGGAGGGGGGCAAAGCAAAGCAAGGCGCGGCGCCTGAGTCCGACGGGGGGCGGGGCCTGAAAAGCTGGCGCGGGCGGGCCGGGGCCCCCAGTCGCAGATGTGGAACTTGTGGTCAATGCTGTGTGTGTGGCGTAGGAATGTTTGTTCTAATTTGCTCCATTGAATGCTGTCTTGTGCTAGTGTAAACCATCGCCCGCTGCCAGGTTCAAGAAACAAGTTTGCTGTCAGAATTATGTGTGATATCGTCTTCCCGCCGCTTCCTCCGACCCCTGTGTCTGCGGACTGCTTGCCTGTGGTCCTGGATGTCCGGCTCCCACGTCGCAGCAAGTCGGGCTCATCTTTTGCACGATTGATCTGCGACTCGCCCTGTCCACCGCCATCTTCTGCGAAAGTAAATCCACTCATCTATGCGCGTTCTTTTTGAAAGATCTGCTGCTGTGTGCGTAGCTCTGCGGAAGAATCTTCCCATGGTTCGAGGTCGGAGTCGTCGTCGCCACCATCGGTTTGCAACTCGTCGTCGGCGTCATTGTCGTCTCAGCTCGTCTTGCCATCGGTTCCATCGTCTACGTACGTTCCTGCATTGGTGCTGCTGGTGTCGTCGGTAGTGGTGCCGTTGTGAACTGCTCCACGTCGGTGGGTATGAGTCGCAGCATCCGGCGTTGAACGCGTGTCACGGTTTGAAGCATGTCCTTGGTCATCGTCCAAGATATGCGACCGTACACGTCAGTAGGCGTCTCTGTTCCGCTGAAAAGGCGAAGCTTGCGGTGTACTGGGTATCATGTATTGGTGAGCTCGTCACGGAGCTGGTTGGACCTGCGCCATCATGTCAGGATTATGTTGGTAAGCTCTGTGTGATGGTAGCCGCTTTCTTGCAACATGAGCTTGGGGCCGAAGTATTTGATGGTCTGGTCTGTGCTGAGAGTCTCAAGGTTGTCGCCGTCAACGCTGGTGTGTGTGTGTGTGTGATGGTCTGCCCTTGTCGTCTGGTAAGGCTGGTAATGATTTCGGTTGTCTGGGTGTAATGCAAGCCAGCACTTCCCGGCTTCTCTCCTTAGCTCATAAAGAATCACTTCGCTTGTCGTAAGAATTTGGTGCGAAGATAAGTACGTCGTCAACAAGCCCTGAGTCGGTGAGCCGCGTAGACCTGGCGCGTCCCAGTGTGATCCGAAAGTCTTTGCGTTCCCAGGAAGGCTCGGCCTGTCGGAAACATGTGCTCCAGCATCGCGCTGAAGAGGTGGGAGCTGAGCGGGTCACCTTGTTTGACCCCGCGTTGTTTGCTGAATTTACTGCTTTTGGCGTCGGTCTTAACCGTGGCGGTCTGGTCATCCTGGAAGTCCCGCAACAATGAAGTGCATGAGCCTGGAACGTTCTGCTGTCGAAGTGCGTTCGAAAAATCTTGGTGGTCGACGCAATAGAACGCCTTTCTAAAGTCGACTGCTGTCCGTGCAACAGCCTCCGTGGTGAAGAGATTGTCTTCTGTGCAAAACCCTTTACGGAATCCAGCTTGGTCAGGTGATTGCTCAGACTCGATGTTGCCCTCTAGTCAGTTGTATAATGGTCGAGACATCAATTTGTATAGTAGAGGGGTCATGGCTATTTGTCTGCAGTTTTGGGGTAGTTGGGTCGCCAGACTTGTTGATGGCACTGATTGTTGTGCGTTTCCATTGCTCAGGGGGTTCTTGCCAAATGTGATAATGTCGTTGAAGAGCGTCGATGGCGTATCCTCCGGCCTTGACTAACTAACTCCACGGTGATACCAGCAATCTCTTTACGCTTGCCTCTGTTGGGATGCATCACTGCGTGGTGAAATTCTTCTTTGGTGAAGTGTCGGATCTCATGGTGTGCATGACGTTGTGCATGCTCTTGCGCCCTGTGTGGCTGAGCGTCTGCAGGTACGTTGGTCTCTGAGCAGCGTCTGTGAAGCTGTTCGTAACAATCTGCAAATATGTCTGCGATGCCTTGGCGGTCCGTCTCACTGGCACCGTCTTTGGTGGCCATGCTCGGTATCATGTCTTTGCTTTTTTCCCGAATGTTATTCCAGATCGTTGTTTTAGGCTTCGGAAAACGTGTTGAGCTCGCTTGATAAGCCGGTGCTGTCGCATAATGCGGGTGCAGAGGGATTTTCTGGCTGCTGCGTCGGAGTGCGGTGTGTTCCGGCGCTGCTTGATGAAGGCTCGTAGGAGTCGTGTGGCTTATTTGTCTTCTTCTTCCTTGTCGTATGCCCGCTGATGTTGGTGTTGCTGTTATTCCCCCTGGAACTCCTTACATTCTGCTGTTATCGCGTGTTCGGTTTGTGTGCGTATGTGTCGCTTGGGTCGTGCGGTGGACCATCTCTGATCAAATGCTGTCGCAAGGGGTGCTGGAAATCCAGGTCGTCATGCCGGGGTGGATACTGGCGTGCCTACTTGCGTGTTCGTCTCTTCCGTCGTGGCGGTCGGTGTTTCGTGCTGTCCACAACACGTCGGAGGTGCACGGCTTGGTGATCAGATCCAGAGTCGGGAGATGACGATGCAAACACGTCGAGCACTAGGTGCCGAGCTCGTTGATCCACAAGGATGTAGTCGATCTGGGTTCACGTGTGCTTCGAGCCCGACTGTGTATACGTGAAAACGTCATGAGGGCGCTTGCGGAACATAGTGTTTGTGATGCTGAGTTTGCGCGTGCACGACGATGATCGTAGCTAAGCTCCACGTTGATATTACACCCGCATGGACCGTAATCGCCGATAGTTCGTTTCTCTACGCCGTGGATGCTATCGTCATCGTTGTTGTCGCTCCGTCGTCCCACTTGCGCGTTAAACTCGCCTGTGAATATGAACGTTCGATTCGGCGTGGATTCGGAAATCATATGACGCGCTGGTCTCCGTATCCACCGTGTGGAAAGTACGCCGTAGTGATCGGGAGATGGCAAAGCGGTAGGTCGATGTCGATGTAGGCGAGCCGCTGGCTCACAGCTGTGAATTTATGGATGCGTCGGGCGTGTCGTGAATGCACCGAGAAAGCGACGCCCTTTGTCGGATGTTCATGCCCAGCAGCTCGGGTCATACGACACATGTCTGATAGCCGCCGCCCGGCTTGCCGCCCTCAGATCATGTCGACTTTGCCAGTGCAGAGCCCAACGTTGGTGGCAGCGTGGGAGGCCTGCGACAACGAGCGAATCAGGCTATCCAGACGAGCCGGCTCGACCCACATCCTGGCGGCCGGCCAAGCGGTCACAGCCGCGGGCCGCCGCATAGGACGTGCTACAGAATAAATGCAATGTGTACGAATCACTTGAGACTCATTCAGGGAATTCCTCGCCGCATAAGAAAAATATGTCCACCAAGCTTGGTAGTCCACAACTCTCGCGTCGTAGTCCGCCATGTTTCGTCGAGTGCCAGAACGTCCCTGTGGATGTCAATAAACTCACAGATCAATACATCAATCGCCGCGTCAGTGGTGAGACTCCAGGCGTTTTTGTGGACTATCGCCACTGCTTTATCGATGCGGTTTGCCAGAAGTGGTAGTTTCCTCTGTCTGATCGTCAGCGTTTGCATGAACCGTCCTTGATGTAAGTGCTGTCGCATCGTGCTGCGTGGTTGTGGCCGGTCGCTGTCGTGGAGGGCGTTGAGGCTGAACACATCTTGGTAGGTCGCCCCTCGGCATTGCCGTATCGCCTCCGCCCTCCGCCAGTGCTGCGTTGAAGCTGCTGCTCCTGCTGAGAATGCGTATGCGCTTGACCAGAGCTAGAGCCGTAGGCTGCGTGCGCACATATGTGTATCGGGACGCGCTCCGGGGCCGAAGGTGCAGTGGCTGGAGGGTGAAGGCCAACGGGTGGAGATAGAAGTATGGAAAAGTCGGACACTGAAGGTTGGAGGAAGCCGCCCTTCCCCTCCTCCCCCCCCTCCTCCTCCTCCTCCTCGTCCTCCTCCTCCTCCTCCTCGCAGTGTTGCACTGGTGGACGCTGGAGGTCGATCGGTGGGGGTCGGGGTGGACAGTCGGGTGCTGAAGGCTGGAGGTCGCATCGCTGAGCTGGTGGACCGCTGGCTGGAGGTCGAAGTGGAGGCGGATGAGGATACAGTCGTCGGCCTGACCTAAGGAACGATACAGAAGGAACGAAGCCCCCCTTTTTCCCAAGGAATAACGAACACGGACAACGCATAAGGAACGATAAACAACGCATGCAAACCTCAGGAACGACCGAACCCCTTTTTAAGTAAGTGTTCCTTATTCAAGCCGCTCTTTGTAAGGTTGAGGAGGGTGAGAATATGAAGAGGAGGAGGGGGAGAGATGGACGAGAATGACTCGGGGCCCCGACGGAGGAGTCACTGATAAACCAGAACAATCGCGCACCCAAGAGAACTGCAGCCCTGAGTCGATACATTCTCCGATCTCCACTTCCTCTCACTGGATCTGGCAAAAACCTGGCTTCGGGGACGCCCGTTCGGGACCCCTGGAAAATCTCTCGACGAAACGCCACTCATGGAAACCACACCTGCTCCCAAAAACCTCCAAACACCAGTGCAAACGTCCAGACAACCTTCTGGACCTCATCCGACGGCTTGCACCGCATCGGCCCCCCCGGGGGACACCGACCGAGGACGTCGCCCGTCGCGCGAGCGGTGGGCGGGGGGGGGGCGGCCCGCCGCCTGGGGAGCGCACCCTGCGGCTCCGGCCTTCTGCCTGCGCTCCTCTGGCGGGCGAGGGAAGGGGGGAGGAGAGGCGGGAGGGCGAGGGGGGGAGAGAAGACAACGCGGAGCCGATCTGCTCGGCGTGGGGCTCCTTCGGCCATGCACGAGAGAGGATGCAGATATGGATGATGATGATGATGATGATGATGATGATGATGATGATGATGATGATGATGATGATGATGATCATGATGCTGCTGCTGCGGATGGCGGTGGTGATGATGATGCTGCTCAGTCTGATGGCGATGATGATGATGGAGTTGTGGTAGTGGTGCAGATGATGATGAGGACAATGTTGCTTATGGTGAAAATTGGTACTGACAATGCTGATGATGATGGTGGTGGTGGTGATGATGGTGCGAATGTTGATGACGATGCTGGTTTTTCTTTTCACCCCAAAGCCCTTCCTCTTCTATGTGTTAGGTGTCTTCTTTGTCTCAGCCTCCGCGCCTTCGGCTTCGAGCGCCGCAAAAGCTTCCGCCGCCGTCGCTACTATGCCGGTACTTCTGTCAAACTGTGCCACATCTGTGGTGCAGGATTAGCCACGCAAGCTGAGGAAGGCGAAAATATGTGCACAAGTTGTTGCTCAAGGTATCTCGCTTTCCATCCAAACATGTGGCACTCGAATCGAAATACGCCATACTTGTTGCATCCGTGCACGGCTTGTACGTGAACCGATTGATCACTTTATTTATGTATTGAGACCTGGAGGAAAAAAGACCACCCACGGATGCAAACTGTCCCGCTCTAGACTCGACACGGCTCGAAAATCTCAGAAGTCTACGTCGTCGCCGTCCTCTCCGCGACCCCTTGTGCGAGGCGGAGAGGCCAACACGGGATCATGAACATGAGCAGGCCAACGATCAGAAACACAAGACAGCCCCCTGAACATCCCCACCGCAAAGACAATTAAAAAACTTGCCAAGGTCGCGATTATCAGGCCGACAACCGCAAGAACCGTGCAAAGCATGAGTGCTAGCACCGCCCAGAGCCCCAGGGCTGGCGCGATCTTTAGAGCCATGGCAGGCTGACGGTCGAAAGGGCCGGGAACATCATGAGTACTAGCACCGCCACGAACGCCATCAGCAGGTCGACGATCAGGAACATCAGGGACTCCGTGAGCGCCCGCACAACCATGACTACCACGAGATTATCCATGGAAGTCATCAGCAGGCCAACGATCAGAAACACTAAGAGAGACTCTTGAGCATCCCCGTCGCAAGGACCACCAAGAGCCTGGCCAAGATGGCGATTACCAGGCCGACGATCGAAAGGGCCGGGAACATCATGAGTACTAGCACCGCCACGAACGCCGTCAGCAAGTCGACGATCAGGAACATCAGGGACTCCGTGAGCGCCCGCACAACCATGACTACCACGAGATTATCCAGGAAAGTCATCAGCAGGTCAACGATCAGAAACACTAAGAGAGACTCTTGAGCATCCCCGTCGCCAGGACCACCAAGAGCCTGGCCAAGATGGCGATTGTCAGGCCGACAGCCGAAACAAGTGGCACGTGTGCCATGGCTCTTGCACAAAAAGGAAGGGGGAGGAGGAGGATGTGGAGGAGGAGGGGGGGGGGGGAGAGGATGCCAGACATCGCAGAAGGAGTGAACAAAACAGGGCCGCAAGAGGGGCTCCAGAGGGCGAGCGCGAGGAGACTCCAAGGGCCGTCCCCCGCAAGATGGCTTCAAAGACCTTTGACGGGTTCCCTGGAAGCCTCCAATTGACGCCCGAGAAGCCTACAGAGGGTTCCAAGGGGAGGCCTCCAGGGTCCAAGGAGGGCTGGAAGAAATTACTGAGCGGACTCAACTGCTGGGGGCTCTGGGCGGCACTGGGCGGGCGCTAGAACCGCGGGGGGGCGCTGAGACGGCGCGGGGGAGGGGGCGGAGGGGGGGGGTGCGGTGCCGAAATAAAGTGGTCGGGGCGGAGGGGGCGCTGGGCGGGCGCTGGAGCCGCGGGGGGGCGCTGAGACGGCGCGGGGGAGGGGGCGGAGCGGGGGGGGGTGCGGTGCCGAAATAAAGTGGTCGGGGCGGAGGGGGCGCTGGGCGGGCGCTGGAGCCGCGGGGGGGCGCTGAGACGGCGCGGGGGAGGGGGCGGAGCGGGGCGGGTGCGGTGCCGAAATAAAGTGGTCGGGGCGGAGGGGGCACTGGGCGGGCGCTGGAGCCGCGGGGGGCGCTGAGACGGCGCGGGGGGGGGGGCGGAGCGGGGGGGGGGCGGTGCCGAAATAAATGGTCGGGCGGAGGGGGCACTGGGCGGGCGCTGGAGCCGCGCGGGGGCGCTGAGACGGCGCGGGGGGGGGGGGGCCGGGCGGAGGGGCGGAGCGGGGGAGGGGGTGCGGTGCCGAAATAAAGGGTCGGGGCGGAGGGGGCGCTGGGCGGGCTGGAGCCGCGGGGGGGCGATGAGACGGCGGGGGGGGGGGCGGAGCGGGGGGGGGTGCAGTGGTCGCGGAGGGCACTGGGCGGGCGCTGGAGCCGCGGGGGCGCTGAGACGGCGCGGGGGAGGGGGCGGAAAAGGGGGGGCTGCGGTGCCGAAATAAAGTGGTCGGGGCGGAGGGGGAGGGGGCACTGGGCGGGCGCTGGAGCCGCGGGGGGGCGCTGAGACGGCGCGGGGGAGGGGGCGGAGCGGGGGGGGGGGTGCGGTGCCGAAATAAAGTGGTCGGGGCGGAGGGGGCACTGGGCGGGCGCTGGAGCCGCGGGGGGGCGCTGAGACGGCGCGGGGGAGGGGGCGGAGGGGGGGGGGGTGCGTGCCGAAATAAAGTGGTCGGGGCGGAGGGGGCGCTGGGCGGGCGCTGGAGCCGCGGGGGCGCTGAGACGGCGCGGGGAGGGGGCGGGGGGGGGGGGGGGGCGGTGCCGAAATAAAGTGGTCGGGGCGGAGGGGGCACTGGGCGGGCGCTGGGAGCCGCGCGGGGGCGCTGAGACGGCGCGGGGGAGGGGGCGGAGCGGGGAGGGGGGGTGCGGTGCCGAAATAAAGTGGTCGTGGCGGAGGGGGCACTGGGCGGGCGCTGGAGCCGCGCGGGGGCGCTGAGACGGCGCGGGGGAGGGGGCGGAGCGGGGAGGGGGGGTGCGGTGCCGAAATAAAGTGGTCGGGGCGGAGGGGGCACTGGGCGGGCGCTGGAGCCGCGGGGGGGCGCTGAGACGGCGCGGGGGAGGGGGCGGAGCGGGGAGGGGGGTGCGGTGCCGAAATAAAGTGGTCGAGGCGGAGGGGGCACTGGGCGGGCGCTGGAGCCGCGGGGGGGCGCTGAGACGGCGCGGGGGAGGGGGCGGAGCGGGGGGGGGGTGCGGTGCCGAAATAAAGTGGTCGGGGCGGAGGGGGCACTGGGCGGGCGCTGGAGCCGCGGGAGGGCGCTGAGACGGAGGGGGCGCATGATGATGATGATGTGGATGATGATGATGATGATGATGATGATGATGATGATGATGATGATGATGATGATGATGATGATGATGATGATGATGATGATGATGATGATGATGATGATGATGATGATGATGATGATGATGATGATGATGATGATGATGATGATGATGATGATGATGATGATGATGATGATGATGATGATGGGGGGGGGGGGTGCGGTGCCGAAATAAAGTGGTCGGAGCTCTAGACACCCTGTGCAAGAGAATAATCGTGAACATCATGAGTGCCAGCACCGCCAGGAGCCCCAGGGGCGGCGCGATCTTGAGCCCCATAGGCAAGCCGACGATCGGGAGAGCCAGGACCACCATGAGCGACCACACCACCAGGAACTCCACTAGCGCGGCCAGGCCCGCCATGAGCAGGCCGACGATCGAGATCTTCAGAAACCCCACGAGCATCTGCAACAACAGGATGGTCCGCTCATCCACCTCTATGATGAACGGCATCTTCATGAACGCGTTGAGCGCCCGCCGGTTCACCACCAAGATGTGCGAGAGCACCGAGCGCCCGGACAGCATGGCCAGCACCTTCATGATGAGTGGCTCCAACAACATCATGACAATCGGCACCTCCAAGAAGGTCGGCCCCAACACCGACCGTATGAGGAACCGTCTTGAGCGTGACCGACACACGTGACTCCCCCAGACAAAAAAGTATGACCATGATCCACAGCCACCGCCTCGGGCACCGCCATAATAAGGATTGACCTAATACGAATGGGATGCTACTGCACATCTCTGGTACGCAGACAAGCAGAATAACGAAGTGCACCACGATCCGTCCAGGGTACGTGTTGAGCCTGCAACGGCACTGTCGTCCAAGCATAAGTTAGGCCAGGATCCATTCAAGCCTGGTTGAATACACCATAGCAGCGCCACCGCGAAGGAGCGGAAACAAGCAGCGCAGGCGCGCAAGTGCGCCTGTGACTCAGCAAATGCTCTAGCCAGACACGGCTATGTTGATGATGATGTTGATAATGATCATGTTGCTGATGGTAATGAGGGTGCTGATGATGATGACGAATCTGAATCTGAGTCTGAATATGATGATGATGATGATGATGATGATGATGATGAGGATGAGGATGATGATGGTGATGGTGATGTGGGTGATGATGTGGAAGAGGAGAAGGAGGCGGAAAACGAAGACGGCCCGTCGACTGGCGATCGGGGTTGCGCCGACTCCTTGCGCCGACCCCTGCGCTGGCTTCTGACGGGACGCCGTTCGTCACGCTCGGGGCTGCGCGGCGGCTGCGCCAATGGCGCGTGAGCCATGTGCTACGCCTGCCTCTCGATGCCGCCAGACGAGCCCGCCAAGGCCGCGCCCTTCGCCCACGCGCGGGGTCGCACTCTACGGGCGGCAGGCCCCCCTGCTGTCCCTGCCGACCTGCAGGCAATGAGCCTCGAGATTTCGCTGGAATTTCATCGACATTCTCGGCATGGGCTTGACGTTCTGCTGGCTCGTCGGTTGCTAAAATTTCACTATAAAAAAACCCCAATCAATGGATGGTTTGATGAACCGTGGGGTCGATACTAAAATCGATTAGGAAATCGACTGGGAACCCAGGACCCCTGGAACCCAGAACCCACCGAAATCGGCCCGGAACCAATAACCAAGAACCCGGGAACCCGGAACCGGGAACCCGGGAACCCAGCCGGCCACCAAAATCGGCGGACACTTTCGCCAAATCTTCCAATTTCCGCTAGAACTCATTCAGTGCAAGCACTGATTCGGGAATCGTGCCGGCACGCCTCGTATTGGTTTGTCTACCAATGCGCTGGAACTTGACCGTCATTGCACAGGCGTGTCCTGATGATGCCGCAACGGCTGCGCGTTGTGGTTCGTTTGCTCGATCAGCTGCACATCGACGAACGCGCTCATTAACGAGCTCTGGCCCTCTTCTGCGTCCCTCGAGGGCCGCGTCGCAAGACGGGCTCTCTGGCTAGGGCCCCCCCACGCCTCCCGCGCCCGTTTGTGTACGTCGCGGCGCTGGCGGACGCACAACGCGGCACTGTCGGGGCGGCAAGCAGGGACGCGGAATCGCGAATCAGGCACAACGGGCGCGGGGATGGTCGACCCCGCGCGAGCGTTCACATCGGTCGAATAGCCGCAGGGCCTAAGGTCTTGCTGTCGTGACACTTCTTGCCGTTGGTATACTTGGCCTGACCATCGGCTGCGAAGCAACGCCCGTCCAACCCGTACTTCGCCGAGGTGTCCTCGGCCTCGTCATGCATCTCCATTCGCTGGCACAGCGGCCTGCGCTCAAGAAGGCCTCGTGCTAGCCAACAACAATATCAATATGTCCTCAACGATGAGCCCGTCGAAACCGTGCGCGCTTACGCTCGCTCTTGATGTTCTGCAACCAGTCCGCCAGGTCAGTGCCACAATTGCGACCTCCGTGGCCAGCCAAGTGGTGCCGACGCCTTTTTCGAAGAAGCCCTTGCAAGTTACGTCGAATAAGGGTGTCAATAAGAAAAGGTACGCATTATGGCTGGAAGAGCGTTCCGCGAAACCGTCACAAACTTGTCCAGCTTAACAGGCGCACGGGATAACCCAGACATCGCAGAAATCAGCCACCTGTAGTTTTCGTGGCCTTTCGGCCAGCCTGCTGTGGGTCTTTCTCTAGTGACGCACGAGGAAGGAGCAGGAATATGCGAGGGATGGATGGATGTCGGACGGAAGGAACCCCGAATCACAGCGAATCAAGCATGAGGCATGGGCCCCACTTTGGCTCAACGCACATTGCAACCAAGCTCCGATCAACTATTGCACATCTTACATGTCTAGTCCTGGACATCTGTACTTCAACTCACTGTCATCTGTTCTTCTCTTTTTGGAAGAATGACGTGAGCACCGGAAAACTCTTGAAAGCGAGAAACAAATAGAACCCTGCAAGTATACACCCCGCGTCCGCCTCCAGGTCCGCTCCCGCATCCACCTCCTTCTCCTCATCCTCGCCGTCGTTTTCCTCTAGCACCTCCTCCTCCTCCTCCTCCTCCTCCTCCTCCCCTTCCCCCTCCCCCTCCTCCTCCTCCTCCTCCTCCTCCTCCTCATCATCATCATCAGCAGCATGATCATCATCATCATCATCATCATCATCATCATCATCATCATCACCACCGTCATCATCATCATTAGCATAACCATCATCAGCATCATCATGATCAGCATCGTCATCGTCACAGTCATCATCATCGTAAGCATCAACATCAGCATCAGTAGCATTACCAGCATCAAATCCCATCCTCCACATCTTACGTGCGTCATGTACATGCGTTACCGTTCTCTTTCAACTTTAACATTGTCTGTCGTTATAGAGCTGTCAACATACATACACACCATGTGCACATAAACATGTAATGTGATCTGCGTTATGCTTACAACCAAAGAGAGGAGAGAGAGAGAGAGAGAGAGACAGAGAGAGAAGGAGAGAGAGAGAGAGAGAGAGAGAGAGCGAGAGAAAGAGAGAGAGATAGAGCGAGAGAGAGAGAGATAGAAACATAGAGAGACAACACAACATATATGATCTATATATGGTAAGAGGAAGCGAGGGAGAGAGCGAGAGAGAGAGAGAGAGAGCTAGCGGGATATACAGCTGTGTGGAAAAGGCACAACTCGAGAGAAATAAAGAGAGAGAGAGAGAGAGAGAGAGAGAGCGAGAGAGAGAGAGAGAGCGAGATAGACAGAGAGAGAAACATAGAGACACAACATGATACATGCTATATATATATGGGAAGAGGAAGCGAGGGAGAGAGCGAGAGAGAGAGAGAGAGAGATAATGCTAGAGGGATATATAACTGTGTGGGAAAGGCACATAGAGAGAGAGAGAGAGAGAGAGAACGAGAGAGAGAGAGAGAGAAAGGGATATATAGAAAAAGAGAGAGAGAAAGAGAGAGAGAGAGAGAGAAAGACACATATATATATATACACACCTGTGATCATAACTCTCTCTGCTTCTTTGCTTATTCCTCGCTTCCCTCTGTTGTGTCTCTTCACCCTTTCCTCCTCCTCCTCCTCCTTCCTCCTCCTCCTCCTCCTGCTCCTGCTCCTGTTCCTCCTCCTCTTCTTCCCCCTTCCTTCTTTCTTTGTAACACTACAAAATTAACAAAACAGCGCTTGGCGCTGGCAGCGCAACGGAACACGATTTTTTTTGAAACCACGAACCACTGTGTATTTTTGTTTGTTTGCTTTCTGGGGGTTTGCAGGCCCCGGTGCTCGCCACGGCCTCCCTCGCAGCACTTCTAATATTGTGTAGTTTTGTGTTTTTCGGTTCTTTGGTATGTGAAACCATTTTTTTTTGCAAGCTCCAGCGGTCGCCGCGGCCACCCTCGCAGCACTTTCCTCTGAGCCTGCAAAACCTCCCAAAAAAGTGCTTCTTTGCATCCCCGACCCAAACAACCAAGCACACCAGAAACAAACCAGAAATACGCACTAGTTGGCGCCCTTCGCGCAAGGAGACACTTATACATATATATACATATATATACATATATATATATCCACATATATATATATATCCACATATATATAATGATTTGTACTGGCTTGGTTTGTGAAGCCACGAGACGCATTTTTTTGTTTGGGGGGGCGGGGCGGTTTCGGTTTTGCAGACCCCAGTGCTCGCCGCGGCCTCCCTCGCAGCGTTCCCTCTGGGCATGCACAACCAAAACAAACAAACAAACATACACAATGTTTCCTTGCATCCCCAACCAGAACAACCCAACTAATCAAACATGCACAGCGAGTTCTGTAACCGAGGGTGAGGACGCCCGGCCATTAAGGATTCCTGCGTTCAGATTCCAAATGCAGGATTCATTTATAAAGACTCCTTAGTAAAGACTCCTTAATGTAGATTCTTTCGTAAGGACTCCTTACTACAGATTCCTAGGGCTCTTTAGTTAAGATTTATTTCTAAGGGTTGCTTAGCAAATCCCTATCGAAGTTTTTCTTACATCGGACTTCTTACTAATATTCGTTACGTAGAGATTCTTTCTGAAATATTCCTCAGTCAATGTCCCCGAACAAATATTCTTTATGGGGGGATCCATCCTTAGGGCTTCTTAATTCAACTGCCTTTTAATTCCGCATGAAAGCTTCTGGACGAGAGATTCCTGATTGAATGGGGCTTTGGTTCAAGAGACCCGAACCAAGATTCCTGATGAAGATGCCTTGCGAAGGACTCCGCAAAACAGATCCTTACTTTGGATTCCTTGTTCAAAACTCCTGATGAAAAGGACTCCGTGTTAGAAAGGTTCCTTGTTAAGGATTTGTTACTTCAGATTCCTTACAAAGGGCCTCTGTCTAAATGTCCCTTCGTATGGAGTCCGCAACACACTTTCCTTACTAAGTGATCCTCAACCAAGACTCCATTTTCAGGATTCGTTATGATGGATTTCTCTAATGCAGATTCCTTATTAAGGATTCCTGCATGCAGCCTCCTGCGGGATTCTTCAATAAAAAGGTTTCCATTGAAAAAACGGTTCCTTATGAAGGATTCCTTTGTCATATTACCGTCGTGCATATTGTTTACGACAGGCTCCTCGGGACTATTCCTGAAAACTGATTCCGG